CTGTGTGTGTGTGTGTGTGTGTGTGTGTGTGTCTCTCTGTGTGTGTGTGTGTTGCAGAGAACGGTCTGAGCATGCCCAGTGATGCGTCTCTGTCTCCAGCCAGTCAGAACTCTCCCTACAGCATCACACCCGTGTCACAGGGCTCGCCCTCCAGCTCCGGCATCGGGAGCCCCATGGCTGCGTCCGCCATCACCAAGATCCACAGCCGCAGGTTCAGAGAGTGAGTACACACACACGCGGGGGTCAGAGGTCACTGAGGTTACAGCAGTGCAGATTCCTGCCTGATACGGCGGCCTACGTTCTCTTCCTCTCAGATCTCAGATCAGCCTTTGTGCTGCAGCTTCTGCCGGCTGAGAGTGGGTTTGGAACAGCAGAGCCGCTGTGCTGCTCAGTACAGTGTGTGTGTGTTTATGTGTGTGTGAGTGTGTGTTTATGTGTGATGTGTGTGTGTGTGTGTGTGTGTGTGTGTGTGTGTGTGTGTGAAGGGCTCAACAATAAGGATTATTTTCTGTTGGCCTCCCCACAAAAATGACTTTTATTTTTATTCTCTCTGGACACACAATCATACACACACACAAAATGAGATGACCAGTTTAAAGGGTTAGTTCACCCAAAAATGAAAATTCTGTCATTAATTACTCCCCCTCGTGTCGTTCCGAACCCGTAAGACCTTCGTTCATCTTCGGAACACAAATTAAGATATTTTTGATGAATTCCGAGAGCTCTCTGACCCTCCATAGGCTGCAAGGGTCCTTACACGATCAAGGTACAGAAACATAGCAAGAAGATCATTAAAATAATCCATGTGACATCAGCGGTTTAACTGTAATTTTACGAAGCTACGAGAATACTTTTTGTGCACAAAGCTGGTGTCTCTGACGGAGGAGGCGCGCAGGGCGTATAAGGACATGGTGAGCGCTCTGGAGCAGGAGCAGGCCGAGGAGGCTCTGAAGAACGTCAAGAAGGTCACGCACCACATGGGCCACTCCAGAAACCCATCCGCCGCCAGCGCCATCTCCTTCTGCAGCGTCATCTCCGAGCCCATCTCAGAGGTCAACGAGAAGGAGTACGGTAAGACACACTTTTAACGCCTTACCAGTTTAAACCTCCAGAAAGTAGACTGTCACAGCGAGTGAGTGATGAACCAAGATCACTTTCACAAACTATTGCACTTAAACTGTCAGATACACTCAAGGTTATGTCAAAAATCTAGCGAAGTCACATTTGTTTCTATAGCGCTTTATACACTACGGATGATTTTAAAGCAGCTTCACAGTAATAAACAGGAAAATAACAATATTAATATCCTGCTGTCACGATCTGGAGAATTTAAATATAGCAAAAAAATGTATCAACGATATAATGTTTCATATAGTTCGGTATCGATAATTAATGACATTTTTTATAACCTTTTTTAAAACAAAGAGCAATAGAAATTTTTTTTT